CAGCCAGTTTACAGGGACATACAACAATACATCCAACAGCAGCAGCCTCCTCCCCCTCCCCAGCAGCATAGGCCTTCTGTCCCTCAAAATCCTGTCAACGTCTCCCCCCATCAGCCCCACCTTGCCCCCGTACAAAATTCATCGCCGGCACCTCCCCTAGTATTGTCAAATAATGCTCAGCCCCTTTCCCTCCCCGGGGGTCAAATTTCACCTCTCAATGCCGTGCCCCCCGGGAAAGACAGGTCACGTCCCCGAGGTCGTATGACCCCGTATGCTTTCTTTGTACAAGAGAGGAGAGAGTATTATCGTCGTCACGGAGTCCCCGTCGAATTCACAGCTTTCTCTAAAGAGTGTTCCTCTCTTTGGAAAGAACTCAAAGATGACGAGAAGTCTCGGTTTCAAAAGATGTCGGAGGACGACAAAGAGAGGTTCAGGAAAGAGTCTGCAAGTTACCACGCGAGCCTCGGTCAGCCATACAGAGACTCAAACTCAAAGAGAGGAAGGAAGAGAAAGGAGCCTGGACAGCCAAAGAGAAATATGTAAGATATGCTGTCATGATTCCTTTATGCCTTATTGATACACCATACAGTAGATTCAATATTATCCCTATGTGGTCGTGTACATTATGTGAATGAATGGCTCTGTAGGGTTTTGTATGAGTACATATACTTTTAGTACTTGTATCTTTCATATCACATTTATGTGTACGTGCACTAAGTTTTTTGTAGCCACTCCTTTTTAAGGAATTTGATTCTTTACACAGCCAATGGTGTTTTCTGTATACATAAATGCCTTCTCTCTCTCCCCCTCTCTCTCTCTATTCCTCTCTCTCACTCTCCTCTCCCTCTCTCTCTCTCTCCCTCTGGCGCCTAGTATATGATAATTGGTAGTGTCAATTAGCTCCTATTACAGCCTTTGCATCCAAAGGAAAGCCATCCCAAATCAACACACTGCATCACCTGTCACCATTTCACTCACTACCTAACCAGAAATTAAATTCCTGTGGCCTCCCTGTTACACACACACTGATTTGGATTACCTATTAGAAATACTTTGACTTATAGCTTTTCAGCCCTTTGTTTTGGCTGGCCTGGATAGCTTGTTTTCATACACGTTTAATGAAATTCTTCATCATGTGGGACTCATTCGTGTTATGAGCTGGTTTACTCACATATTCCACTGCTCATTGATCATGTGTATATACCATAGTCTAATTATTATCATACTCCCCCCACATATTTTTTTCTCTCACCTATTGTTTTTGTTGCATGTGTTTTTTGTACAGCTTGTGTCATTACCATTATAGGTGTTGGCTTGGGTTTTTTTGTTATGTATATTACATATATGTACATGTAGTCTAGCTGACTATCTGTCCTTTTCTTTTCCTTTTTTACTTTCTGTTTTATTTGTTTTCCTTCCTTATCTTTCCTTCATTTCTTCTTCCTTTATTTCTCTCTTAACTACTCTATCTCTTTCTTCTCTCTCTCTCTCTCTCTCTCTCTCTCTCTCTCTCTCTCTCTCTCTCCCCCTCTCTCTCTCCCCTCTCCAGGTGTGCCTTCCTTCATTTTTGTGCCGAAAAGAGGCCTAAGTTACGAGTTGAAAGCCCCGCTGCCAGTATTGGTGCTTTGGCTAAGCAGCTGTCTCTAGCATGGAAAGTCATGACTCCGGATCAGAAGCGACCGTATGAAGACATGGCCATGAGGGACAAGGTGAGCAAGGAAATGAAACATGACAACGCATTAGTGAATTATTTAATTAACGTGTAGCTATCATTGTAATACTTGTACACTCAAAAATACTAGCTATGTAACATATGCCTCTCTCCTTCTCCCCCTTCTCCCTTTTTCTCTTGTACTTGTATATGTATGTACAAACTGTAATTATTGGTGGCCGGTTGGTTATTATTATTATTTTGTTGAATGGAGTGCTAAATGCTTATTCATATTTAATCTTTTTGAGTGTTTTATGAATATTGTAGATTTTAGTGATGGTTGATCGTTAAAGCTGCCATAGTACTCTACAATGTGTCCATAATGAAGCTAAAAGACTCACTCATTCCTTGTAGTAGTCCTGCAGATATGGCCTTCAGTTTGTTTACGTGTGTGCTATATTATTTGGCTTGTTCATTAAGAATTGTATGTACACTTATGCCAATCACAGCCAGATAATGTACTCTCTCTCTCTCTCTCTCTCTCTCTCTCTCTCTCTCTCTCCCTCCCTCTCTCTCTCTCTCTCTCTCTCCCTCTCTCTCTCTCTCTCTCTCCCTCCCTCTCTCTCTCTTTCTTGTATGTTTTTTGTATGTATGCATTTTTGAGTGATTTTGTAGTCCTATTCCTGCTTCACTGCTTTATTGTCTTGCTACTATGGTCTATTAGGGTACCTTTGATGTTAGTAATTACGTGTCCATTGGCTTGTGATGATGATGAATTTGAGTTTAATTTCTTGTAGCCACAAACACATTTGTACAAATTAGCTGCTACATAAATATACTCTGTGTGTGTGTGTGTTTTATGCTTTCAGGTAAATGTAGAAATTGAAGTTGTTTCTATGATTTTAAAGTATAAGAACTTTTAATGTATTCCATTACAAATATACGTGTACATGTAGTCTAAAAGTTTGTAATTTGAACCGGCTCAAACTTTCAGCACAGCATAAGTGCATTGGAATGTAGTGACACCTTTACTGTTTTTATAGTAGTGTACTGTAACATTGCTTGTAGCCAAAGTGTCCTTTATAACTCAAAATATTTCAATTTTAAGCTTCTTGTGAAGGAGTTTATCAAAGTATACTAACAAGGCTTGTTTGTGACTTACATGTACATGTACAGCAACCTTACTTGTTGTTAACATTTTGTTTTTGTTTTCTTTTGAAGTGAAGTGTATATAACTTGTAAATTATATTATTATCATCATGGTCTATGTTTGTGATAGTCTGACCATTGACTGACTCTCTCTCTCTCTCTCTCTCTCTCTCTCTCTCTCTCTCTCTCTCTCCCTCTCTCCCTCCCTCTCTCCCCATAGCTCCGTTATGAGCAGCAGAAGCAGGCCTATGAAGCAGGTTACTCTGCAGCTGTCACTCAACAGGGAGCCCCAGGAACAGGAGGAGGAGGAGGAGGCGGAGCTAACTCAACTTCATCCGCCCCAGCAGCTCCTACCTTAGGCAACGCAGCTGCCCTCTCTCGTGCTCAGTTTGATGGACAGAAGCCTATTTATCATCCAAGAAGGAAGAGAAAGGATCCTGATATGCCTAAGAGAAACATGTAAGTTGATGTACATGTACATGTACATGTATGTTCATGTACATGTACTTATGTGTAATGTACCATTAGGACATCAATCTTGCTAGTAGTATGCTTGTTCTACTGTATCTCTTAAATTTAGCTGTACTACACTATCATTGATATCATATGATATTGTGAAATATTGCATAGAATTTTAGTATACATGTACATGTACATGTACTGTGTACTTATTATCTTATTATTGCGACTTTCCTTTGTCTTAATTGTGTGTAGTGCTTGCCTTTAGTTCATTTGGACTGTGTAAGCTTTTTAATTGAAATTGATTTTAATTGGAGCTTTGCTAATAGACTAGGAGGGAGGGAGGGCTGGAAAGAGAAACAGGGCTGGTATCTGGTTAATGATAGAATCACTAAGAGGTTGTCCTGGGTGTGAAATGTGGTCCACTTGTTAGTTCAGCCATTGTTGCAATAGAAACAACTTTAATGTATTAACGTAATGACCCAGAGGGGGTCAAGTTGTAAGTAACAAATGGTCTTAGTGGTTCAGAGATGCACGCGTCATTAAATCATAAGGCTGTGATAATTTTTAATGCGCATTATTTTGATGTTCAAATGTTCCAAATGTTGTCAAATAACTTAATTTTCTCCTTCAAAACACTTAATTATTAATAATTAGTTTTATAATTCAATACACCACACACACACACACACACACATTGTGAGTTCTCTCCTCTCATTAATATTGAATATTGAATGAGATCAACTCTGACCTCTATTATGTGTGCAAACAGCTTAATTTCCTAATTAGCATTTTTATGGTATGACTAATATTATTATTATTATTATAAAATTTGTGGGTCATATTATACAGTCTTTATACAGCCTAATATGTGTATGTGTGTGCATGTGCTTGCCCTCTAGGCTTTAGATATCTCTTGTTAAATCATCCATGACCCTCTGTATTGAAGTGTTATTTTTGAGCTACAATAGCAGCTGGATGCGGTCATTCAAAGCCCGGTATTGCTTGAAGAATGATTGTTAGTCATTTGTCAATGCAGTCCACAACAGAAGACTACCTGTTGCTACTAACAGTGAACAATAGATGGCATTTAAACTAAAGGCAGGCTACATGTAGCTGGTACTATAAAATCCTAGTGGATAGAATGTAGGTATGCTTTATGGTGCGAAAGGGAAGGAAGGATTCTGGCTATATGTATTAAGAGAGATAGGAAAGGCCAAATTACTATTTCTTCATCTCCAAATACGATACATGTATGAGAAAACTTTCCATGCATGATTTAAGAATGATGAAGTTCACAACCAAACTCTCTCTCTCTCACTCTCTCTCTCTCTCTCTCTCTCTCTGTCTCTCTCTCTCTCTGTCTCTCTGTCTCTCTGTCTCTCTGTCTCTCTGTCTCTGTCTCTGTCTCTCTCTCTCTCTCTCTCTGTCTCTCTCTCTCTCTCTCTCTGTCTCTCTCTCTCTCTCTCTCTCTCTCTCTGACATTAATCAGTGTAGCAGCTATTCTTTGGTCATTAGCACTCAATATGGTAGAAAGGGCGTCATTATTATAATGTTAACAAGATTCTTATATCAAGTTTATGGACAAGTGTTTTCTCCTGAGACTGAACATCGACTACCACTAGACAGTCACACGTATACCCACTCTACTCCATAACCTAATCCTATCGCGACAATGAGAAAGCAGACTTGTCAAAGTTGTTGGCATGGGTTTCTGTTGATAGTAATCTCAAGTCTTATTCTTTATCAAGTTTATAGCTAGGATTATAAGCTTTCATGACCTTCTCCAATATTCTATCATTATTATTATTATTATTATTATTATTATTATTATTATTCTTTATTTGGTATTTATGAATGACTTAGTGGCTTTACTGTGTATATCTTGAATGGAGTGGTACCTTACTGAATGAAGCTGTCTAACTCCACTAAGTATAGGTCTAGTATTACTATTAACTGTATTGCTATTATACATGTGTACAAATCTAGTCTAGTTTTATCACTTCCATGTAATATGTACATGATATCTTTGTATTAAAAAAGAAAGCAATTTTCAGCATCATTTTTATTTATTATTATTATTTTATTATAGGATAGTTCATTAGACTCTATATTTTATTGAATATATACATGTAGAAGTAGAAGTAGGCCACAACAGATTTCCCCTATGTATTCTCTTGTACTGTCTATTAGTCTTAATGCCATTAAGCCACTGCTTTGAATACTAGGCCAAAGTCTATTATGGATAGACAATACAGGCTAAGTATAGTGTTCCTATAGAGTCTGTTGACACATCAGTGGTTGTGTATTTAAAGATTGTATCCATAACAGATGTACTGTGTACATAATGGTGAGGGTGAGGCAGAACAGGTGTCCTCTTATACTGATTACATTATCTGGTGATTGCATATTTCATATACACATCTACTGTATAATAATAATAATAATAATAATAATAATAATAATAATACCGTAGGCTCTAATGTAGTTTATAATATGGCCTTAGTCAGTGTACAGTAGTATTGAGTATTGATAGCTCTATAATGTATGGTAGATGTAGCTATACTTATCCTCCACGTTATGATAATGCAATATTAAGAAGTTATGTACATCTACATTGTGGGCATGTTAACATTTTACACCTACACTTGGTACACTGTAGCCCACAGATGTACATGTACATGTATATTCACATTTTATACAATAATGAAATATCATGATAATAATGCTAATGTATTGCTCTAACTTTTTTATACATGTATGTGATGAAGTATCTTTTAGAGATAATAATAATAATTATTAATATTATTAATATTTTTATTAGTACAGTATGTTTAACTTTAGCTCTCAATTTAACTTTTCCATTAGTTCATTTTTCCGTATAATGATGATGATGATGATGATGATTTATCTTTTTTATTATTTATTTTCCAGGTCAGCGTTCATGTTTTACAGCAAGGCTAAGAGACCACACCTCCGAGCTCAGAATATGACGCTGAGGGTCGGACAGCTAGCACAAATCCTTGCCGCCCAGTGGAAGATAATGAGTCCCTCAGAGAAGAAACAGTTTGACGACATGGCTAGGAAGGACAAGGAGCGGTACGAGATGCAGCTGAAGGCTTACAGAAAAGGAGAGTACATTCCAATGTCGGATCAGCACGACATTGATCAGATCTGTAACATGTATCAGTGATTGGGGGCGTGGTAGTAGGCGGGGCTAAGTTGTGAATTGTGAACGTGATATCATTATTTTTTTTTTGATTTGTATTCTCCTTCTTTTGTACTGACACACCCACACACACGCTCTTACATAATTTGAGCAGTTTAATATTACTTAATTATTATCATCGTTATTATTATTATTAATTTTTTGATTATTTTTGGTGATTTGGCGATCATTTTGTTCACACATGAATCAAGCATTCAATCAGTACCACCACTATTATTGTTATTATTATTAATATTATTATTATTATTATTATTATTATTTACACTTATTTTGCTCTTTTTCCTACTACTTTTTTCTAAAAAAAATTGTGATCAATTCTTAGTACGAAAATAAAGTCAGTTTCTCTACCTACTTAGCTAAAAGTACAAGTCTTATAACAATGGAACTGCATGTATATTTAGACATGTATAAATAGATATCTTTACACATGGTGTACAGGGTTCTGCCTAGAATAAAATTAGAGGTGGTTGGTGGCTAATATTGTTCCTTTTAAATTCATGTACCCCATACTAGTAGACTACAATATCATGCTTTATGTATGGTTATTAGTATTAATTGGATGGTTGGTCTAAGTGATGAACTGGTTGGTTCATTTGTTGAGGTGGTTGTCCCGACCACCATAGGCAGAACTATGAATGTACATGTACAGAAAAGGCTAAGCACAAAATGATTTCAAAGAACAAAATCTTCAAAAGAACATTTTCATAAATGATAATAGTACAAATACTCCATTACGACTTGAGGGCACACAGCCGGTTATGGCAAACATGAAAGGATGTATCCCATTTTATCAAAATAATTCGATTTATTTTAATCCAATTATTGAGTTTGTACAAGTACACGGGCCTCCAAGTGTTTTGATATATGTACTACATGCATACCATAATTCCAATAGGAGGAGGAGTGAGAGCTGCTAACAAGAAAATACAATTTGCAATAAGCTCTTCTCCTGTTAGCAACTATTTTTAAACTTAACGAATAAGCCATTTTCCTCTTAACAAAAAAATGTGCCTATTTAAGATGGATAGTATGCAAGTGAATTTAATTCAAATGGTCGTTCTGGTTGCTTTATTAAAATAGCAAATTATTTTTAATAAATTATAAATAGTAATGGAGTCTGAAATGAAACGATTACTCCATAAGACACACTGATGCAGCAAAGAGTCTAATAATAATAATAATAATAATAATAATAATAATAATAATAATGATGATGTATTGTAGGAACTTATACGAGGTACATGTACATGCTATATGATACTACATAGTATCATGAGTCAGAAGGAACTGCAACTGAGTCCTCATATCAGACTGATTTTATGAATCAGTTGATCACCAATAGTGACATGATAGTCACCAGGATTTACACTTCTTTTACCCTAAAAAGAGAGAGAGAGAGAGAAAGAGAGAGAGAGAGAGAGAGAGAGAGAGAGAGAGAGAAAAGGAAAGAAGTATAACAATAAAATGCAGCTGCTCAAAAAATACAAATTCTAAGTCTGTAAAGCAATTTCCTACATGCTTCTTGCAAAGTATAGAGTCACAAATATCTGGATAAGGTGACAAACACAAATTGGAGTATAACAAATTGCCATTAAAGACCAAAGCATGTTTACATTCTCGCCAGTTACCTGTACATAAATATTATCATTTTTGAAAATTTATACCATCAACAACCAGAGAATATTAGCAAAAGATACAGTAGTATAGCAATTAATGAAAAAACCTCAACAAGCAAACAAACAATAATAATAATAATAATAATAATAATAATAATAATAATAATAATAATAATAATAAGCTTACACTTTTGTCAACAGTTGAGAATGCTTTAGAATCAGCCGGGAATGTGACCGAAACGCTCTGCAAAGGATTCAAGAAGACTTTTTCGAATCCAAACAATTTCTTTTTAGGAGCACCAGAATTCTATAACATAAAATAATCAAAATTACATGTACATGCATAATATATGCATAAAAAAGTATCAGTATTATTAATATATTAATATCAACTAACGTTGTATGAGATATAAGCCAAAACAGAGATTGCCCCAGGCATTTTACCAGTGTTAGTCACTGTTACATTGTAGACCACTGTGGGGTAACTAACTGATCTAACACCTGACATATTAACTGGCTTAGACCTACAAATTAAAAAATAATAGTTATAATTTTGATGCTTTAAGAGCAATAAAAAATTGTGTAGATGTACATGTACTAAAATGTATATTCATTTGCAAATATTAATTTTTATATTTTTCATACCATTCCAAGTAGAATGTGGTATAACTAAGGCCGTCTCCAAAGGAGAAATCAGGAGTGTCATTGTAAAACTTGTATGTACGGCCTGGATACTCCCTCATGGACATGTGACGGAATGCAACCAAATCAATATAAGAACCAGGGTACTGAAAAAAGAGAGATAGAGAGAGGGAGCAATTAGAAATAGAGTTGTGTGTTTTAAATAATAAAGAAGTTTATAGCATCAAATTTGATTAACTCACAAATGTGACGGGTAGTCGTCCTGATGGATTCACTTTACCATAAATTATTTCAGCAATAGCTTGACCTCCAGATTGACCAGGATACCCAGCCCACAATATAGCATCTGCATGTTTCTATAAATAATAGAAATATTTAAAAATTGGCCAATTTTAAAAATGGTCATAACTTGAAAAATGGAAGTCGGAATCGGCTCAAACTTTCTACACAGCATAAGTACATCAATATGCATTAGAAAATGTAATAAAAATTGGGGGTGATTTCGGAGCCATTTTTCAGAAAAAACCATGGACTATAGTACAGGGATTTTTCCAGATTTCGGCCCATTTTTTAAAATGGCCATAACTCAAAAAATTGAAGTCGGAATTGGCTTAAAATTTCTACATAGCATAAGTACATCAATATGTATCAGAAAATGTAATAAAAATTGGGGGTGATTTTGGAGCCATTTTTCGGAAAAAACCATGGGCTATTATAGTACAGGGAACTTTTCAAAAAATGGCTAATTTCTTCAAATAGCTATAACTCGAAAAATTGAAGTCGGAATTGACTCAAACTTTCTACATAGCATAAGGACATCAATATGTATTAGAAAATGTAATAAAAATTGGGTGTGATTTCAGAGCCATTTTTCAGAAAAAAACCATGGGCAGGGATTTTTTCAGATTTTGGCCCATTTTTTTAAAATGGCCATAACTCGAAAAATTGAAGTCGGAATTGGCTCAAACTTTCTACATAGCATAAGGACATCAATATGCATTAGAAAATGTAAAAGAAATTGGGGGTGATTTCAGAGCCATTTTTTGGAAAAAGCCATGGGCTATAATAGTACAGGGATTTTTTCAGATTTTGGCTCATTTTTTAAAATGGCCATAACTCAAAAAATTGAAGTCAGAATTGGCTCAAACTTTCTACATAGCATAAGGACATCAATATGTATCAGAAAATTTAATGAAAATTGGGGATCATTTTGGAGCTATTTTTTGAAAAAACCATGGGCTATAGTACAGGGATTTTTGTAAAAAGCAGCATCTTTATAAATAATCAAAAATGCCCAACAGTATCAGTTCAATCTTATCATATTACAGTGACATGTGTTGGTCATAGTAAACTCTTAATTAGGTAACATAATAGCATTAATCATGTCACTCCATTGAGACGTGTAGTAATTATGAAGTTCAATTGACAAGTGTGAAAAATTGTGGCTTGTAATTTTGAAGATGTAGACACAATACTAGTATATTGGATTACAATTATATCAGTATAATTAATAATAATAATAAGAAGAAGAAGAAGAAGAAGAAGAATAGGAGAAGAAGAAATAAATAAATAAATAAATAATGATAATAATAATAGCAATAATAATAATATTAAATAATCATAATGGTAATAATAAATAATGACAATAAGTGTATCAAACCGAACCCCACACACAACCTACATGTACATGTATGTACATGTATACCTTAACCCTTAACCCTTTAACCCTGCATACACGTATACCTTACCTTAGTAACAGTAAGATCAACAGAAGATCCAGACATTACCACAACAATAAGTGGGGCATTAGTACCAGCTGCTTTCAGTGTGTTCTTTAAATCTTGTACAAACTTATCCTGGAGGTTAGGCAGAAACAAGTCTTCTCTGTCATGTCCCTCGCTACAACAAACACAAAAGGTTTTTAAAAATGAATTTATTATAAAATAAATTCTTTTTTAAAAACCTTTCGTGGGATTGATCCAGTCCCAATACAGCAATCACTGCATCGGCTTTGACAGCAATGTCAAAGGCATCTTGAAAGCCATCAGTGACCTCACAATTCACGTCACAGCCTGAAGCTGTCAGAACACTGTCGATACCTAAGTTTTCAAATCCTTCTACAGGACTTATCAGGTACGGGGCAACACCCTGATGTATAAAAGAAAAGAAGAAAAGAGCATTAAATAGTTGTACATGGATAAACTTAATCCCACCTTCCCTCCCTCCCTCCCCCTTTCTCTCTCTCTCTTTCTTTTACAAAGTTAAAACATTAAATATTTGTACATGTTTATACTTGATCTCCCTCCCCCCCTCTCTCTCTCCCCTCCTCTCTCTCTCCCTTCTTTCTTTCTCTCTCTCTCTCTTTTACAAAGAGGAGATGATCAACTGACATTATAGTTTCCTTGCATTACATCAGTAGCCATTGCATGTGGACCAACTACAGCAATGGTTGAGTGCTTCTCAAAATTAAGCGGAAGAACATCTACAGAAGAATAACAATAAACAATTTAAAAGATAACAATCTTGTAACTAATCACATGTAACTTTAAATAAATTTTCTGTCTCACCATTATTATTTTGGAGTAAAACAATGCTCTCTCTGGCAGCATTGAGAGCTAATGCCTAACAAAAAATAAAATAAAATAAATTAATAAGTAATAATAATAATAATAATATTAGTACAATAAGGCAGATGTACCTGGTGTTCTAGGCTATTCACAACATCAGGAGATATTGCATTGTATGGCTGTAACTCAGGAGGATCAAACATACCAAGTTTCATTCTTAAAAATGAAAAAAAAAACAAATAAAAGGTACAGTAGATCTATAGCCAGATATGTAACTTTACACACAGCCTACCGAGCAGTAAAGAGTCTTGTTAGTGCAAGATTAATCTCTCCGATGGTAATGGTACCGTTGAGAAAAGCACTCTGACAGGAAGACAGAAAGAGAGAGCAAAATTATTTATTTATTATTTCATTTATTCATTCATCATCAATATTTATTATTTATTTATTATTTTCTAATTTATTTAGACTACCATAGAAGTTATACCTGAGCATGACTTTGATAGTAGCTTCCACAGTTGAGGTCACAGCCTCCTTTAAGAGCAGCTGCTACAGTATCATCAGTATTGTTGGTGTAACTAAAAATAAACAATCAAATTACTCATTATTATTGTTATTATAATACTCGTAACTCTAGGCTTTTTAACGACCTGGGGGCGAAGCCCCCAGGTCGTTCCTATAATTGATTTCACCGTCGCGCTATCTATATATATATATATATTTGTATGTCCACACTTACATTTCTTCTATACATGTTGTATTGGAGAAATAACAAGCCTTAGCAACCACCCGCCCACGCTCCTTTACGTAAGTGGGTGTGGCCACGGAAAACAAAATGGCGGCTTACACACGGGACAAAGTTATGAGCTTTCTAACAGCCAGAGAACATAGAGATACTGTCTAACAACTTCTCTAGAAGTATTTGCAGGTAGAGAGAACCTCTATAAGTCTTAATAAGTGCCTAGCTATGCATGCAAGGTGGTGAAATCAATTATAGGAATTATTTTTACACTGTTACGCTTGTTGCGTTAAGATAATTCTCAATTTATTTTATATTTCACTTCTCTCTCTCTGTCTTTCTTTCTTACTGGTGTTTATTCTGAATGTCATCAATAGCACCACAATCACTCGCCTACAAAAAGAAACAAAACCTTGACTTGAAGTCAAAACTAGCTACAAAAATAGCACAATGACATCAATATGTATCAGAAAATGTGATAAAAATTGGGGTGATTTCGGAGCCATTGTTTGGAGAAAAACCATGGGCTATAGTACAGGGATTTTTTTCAGAAAATGGCCTATTTTAAAAAATATCCATAACTTGAAAAACTGAAATAAAACTATGTACATAGCACAAAGACGTCTTTATTAATGGATTTTTTTATTTATATACATGTACAAAATTAATAACTTACAATAAATCCATCGAATCCCCAAGTATCACGAGCCAGCTTATTATTTATCTGACCATCGGCACAGCTAGGTACCCCATTCACTTCATTATAACTGCACATGATACTGGCCACGTTAGCTTCTTCTACGCAAGCTTTGAAAGCTGGGTAATAAGTCTAATTAATGATGATATAACGGTAAAGTAATAAATAATTATAATACATAAAAATTTTAATAGAGACCTCTTCGAAATCTTGCGGTGTGATTTTAGCGTTAAAGGAATGCCTCGTTTCACCGTCAACATAATCTTCAAGATCTGACGATGAATAAAATCAAATAATTATCATTTACAATGACTCATCGTATAATTTATAAAACCTATACACATCTCAATAGAACAGCTTACCATAACCGGCAAAGTGTTTACAAGTTGTAACAACTTTCAGATACCTGCAAGAGGGTAAACAAACAGGATGAACAGGTGCATGTTTTTTAAATAATAATAATAAAATAATAATATTACTTTGAGTCTCCTTGGGCTCCAGTAACAAACTGTATGGCATATTGTGAATTCAAATAAGGATCTAAAATGATAAATAATAATAATAATAGACCATGATACATAAAGTTACCTTCTCCTGGGGTCTCCTGGGCCCTCCCCCAACGTGGGTCCCTACAATAGAATAAGAGGTAGTTGCTCAGCAGCTGCTGATGTTGTTTAAAGTACACAATGCCTTATAAGGCAAACCAGAGTAAACCAAACGTCACATGATCATAACCAACCAACCAACTGACAGGAAACATTAATTGTGCAGTCCAAAATCATTGAATTATGTTATCATACATGTACATGTACATTAACAAGAGTAGATAATAATTAGAGGA